AATAAGTTAAAATGTGGGCATTTGCGGAAGACGTTTTTTACGGGGAAACGTTCATTGATGTCTCTATTATAAGGTTCTTAAAAAATTGGCTGCAGCCACTTGCGCGAAAATTAATAAAACAATAATATACTATCGCTAACAAAAAAAACTCATACAGCTATATTGTGGTTGTGTGAATAAAACTTTTCCGTCAATGTCAAGCTGACATCGAGCTTTGTCACATCCATTATGATTTTTTTAACAACATTTTCAACCAAACAATGCAGACGAAGTCTGGCAAGCCATTGAAGCCATTTGGAACAAGATAAAGCAAGACGGCGACTTCCACGCTTTGCCGTTTGCGGGCAGTAATTGACAAAAACAGAGGCATGACAAAATATTATTTTTTTTTCAAACTTCAACCTAACTTTGTATTTAATTTTAGACTTTTCAAATGTGACGTATCATGTTAAAAGCCATAATTACTCCAACGAAATAATTCAAGAAATGTTAATTAATTAATTTTTGTATTCCATTTAAAAATAATGTTATTTAATTTAAAAAACCATGTTTAAAAATAAAAATTCACTTTATTTAAAAGAAAAAAGCAAATTTATTAAATTATATATTAAAAACAAAGAACTTTACACTTTTATTTCTGAATTGCATTTACTCGTTTAAATTTAAATAAAAGTTGATTTCTTAAAATATAAATTCAATTTACTTTTTTTAAACATCTGAAAAGTTTAAATTAAAATAAATATTGATTTAAAAGAATTAATTTAACTCTCAGTTATTAAAAGTATATTTGTATGTGAAGGTACAGAAATGGTGTAATCCGCCTCTTTTGGTCCGCTATTTTAAATTTAATAATTTTGATATCAAATTCGTGATAAGCGACCCCAAAAACCTAAAAAATTAACATTTTCAGGACAATTAACTAATTATTTTTTAAAAAAGTCCGCCATTTTTGGTCCGCCATTTTGAATTTAATAATTTTAATATTAAATTCGTGATGAGCGACCCCAGAAACCTAAAAATTAACATTTTCATGACGATTAACCAATTATTTGTCAAAAAAGTCCGCCATTTTTAGTCCGCCATTTTGAATTTAATAATTTTGATATCAATTTCGTAATCAGCGACCCCAATAACCCTAAAATACAAATTTTCACATTATTACATTCACTTTTCGAGTTTTGGCCAGAGAATAAGTCGATTCGGACCAGTGTGCGTCGCGGGGTGCTTTGCGCAAGCTTGTTCTGCGATCGGACCCCTGCGACAATTGTAGACCCGGCTTAATATGAGTTATTTTATGCATCTTATAAAACAAATTTTATCTTATAAGATGCATAATATATATACAGTGTGTCTACTTAAGTTGGCAACATAGGGGAAACTTTCTTATTATTAATTTTACGAAGAAAAGTTATTGTTTATATAAAGTGAGGTTAAATACGTTGACATTTGACATATGTTAAATGTTGAACAAATAAAATTGGCTTTAAATTTTTCTTTGTGTTCGTCATAGCATGCAACTCGTTTTATAAACTTCTCTATACACACTTTTTTATTAAACACTCGCTTGCAAGCTTAGCTCGTGCCTACTCGTTACTAAAATGGCATTTATAAAACTTGATACATAATATACTACTATTATTTGAGCTATTATTAATTAAATAAAGATTAATTGTCAATTAATAAATGGCAATATTAAATTTTAAAAAGCCATTTTATTGTGGTATAATTACAATATAAAAATTGTTTTATGGAAATTTAGTTAATTTTGACAAAAATATAAAACAAATTTAACCATTTGTACTATATTAAACTTTATTATTTATCGAAAGTTTTATAATAAAATGAATATAACAACTAAAAAAGTTTGTAAATTTTGCATTATAAAATTGTTAATTTTTTCATTAAACACTGATGCCAAATAAACATGTGCACTAAAATACCTGTGGGATATCTTAATGTTCATTTGGTATTTTATTTCTTTCAGTGTAGGCCTACTTTAGAACCTACTAAGACTAAGTTTAAAATATCAAGACATTTTAATTTAATTAAAATGGTATTGCAAATCCTTAATTACTTCCCCCCAATTTTAATTTATCAATATAAAAAAGGGCTAACGATGCTCTGTAACACAAAGGGCATTGACATACTTTAATCATAAGTATAAAACAAAAACAGATTTACTTTGATTTAAAAAAAAGTAGTTTTATTCATACAAACAAGCATTAAAGTAATTATAAAATAAGTTTACATTTTATTCTGGAATCGTACTGAGCGTTTGGCTTTTTTTTTGCAAACTCTTCTATGAGTGGACTAACGTTTATTTTTTTAGCTCTTTTAGATTCTATGGATAACATAGCTAATGCTGATAATCGCATTTGCGTCATTGTGCTGCGTAAATAATTTTTAATTATTTTCACGAAAACATTGAATATGGCCGTATTAAGAGCATTTAGCTTTTATTTATTTAATATTAATCAATATTTATTTAACAAACCATTTACAGACTCGATAATTTAACATTTTTATTTTATAGATTGTATACCTACAGGTTTTAAAATATTAAAATATATATTTTTTTAATATTACGAAAGGTTCAAACTTAATGGGAATTTATATTATTTCAATTTTTTTAACATTATTGGTCTATTTTAATTATTCTAATATATTTAAACATTTTATAATTTGATTTAATTTTTTTGAGGGTTAAAAAGAAATACATATTTTTTCATCAAATTTATTTTATATTTAAAAATGCTCATTTTAGCACTGCAAACATGGTAAATTTTTTATAATAATAAAGTACAGGATGTAATTTACATAAAATATATATTATATATGTAGGTATGTCCACATAGATTTAAAAAAATATATACGAGACAAACTATGTATGTAACACAGGGCGTTTGCGTTAAGTTATATTACATTACATTGTATGCTATAGCATTAAGAAATGACTTTTATACTTACGAATTAAACGCATTTAATGCATTGTGTTACATGGGTTTTGGTCGTTTATTTTTTAAAATCTACAATGTGCACATAATATGTTATAATATTTGCACATAATATATTATATAATAAATAACCGCTGACACCCTGTGTTTAAATGGGTTTTAATTGTCTACTTTAAAAGCATTATATTGGGTATTAAAAATAGTTTAAAATTTAAAGTTTTTTTAAGTGAGCGGGGCCCCTTAAAGCTCGGACCCCCCGCGCCGCGGGCCCTTCAGGTACGCCAGTTTATGTTTTGAAAATATTATTTTTTATACAGTCTACCAAAATTATGTGAATTTATATCAATCAAATAATAAACTAAAATATTACTTATGCAATGTTAAGAATCATTCCTTATCTTCTAAATTTCCAAACTAATATTTACATAGTTAAAGAAATAATTATTTATTCTGTCTATAAATGATAGTAGTTGAAATATTACTAAACAAATATTTATTTAAATATAACATATTACCAAAATAGGTAATAACAATGAAATTTTAAAGTAAAGCATAGCCAATTGATATTAAAGAAAACAAAATATAGACTAGGTACCAATTTATTTTAACAGATGTGTAATATAATTTTTAAATGGCTTAATATTGCGATTTGCAAGAATATAAATTATAATTAAACAAGTTTTTGTTTAGATTTAATGGCTATTTTTGTATTTCCTTATCTGACATACAAAAGTATACACAAAAGTACTCTTTTAGTTCCACCCTTACTTCCTAAGAAGTCCCATAAGCCAACTGAATGGCTGCGGGGTAGGAACGGACATCGGGCTTAAAGTCCCCTCTGAAGTTCAATATCATGTATTTGGATACATAAATATTATTACTATTTTAATATTAATTAATTGTTTCGCAATGAGTTTTTGAATTGAATAAAACACGTATTACCTTAACGCCATTTAATGAATTAAATAAAATACATATTCTTTATTTGTATACTAAAACATATCCAAAACAAATTTTAACTTAAAAATAAGAATTAAAAAGTCAGTAATTAAAAAAGTTCTTAACTCACTAGCCGACTACTAATTTTAAAATAATATAATAAAATAATAAAATCATTTCATAATATCTAATTACTAAAAATAGCATGCTTTTCATATAGGTATATAAAACTAATAAAGACAATATTTTTGTACAAATTAACGTATACCAGGATACCAACAATTTTTTTAAAATTGTTCTAATTTTATTAAACATAAATTAACATCATATGAGCTTTAAGGATTCTGAATAACGTTTACAATTTGCAAATATTTGTAACTAAAATTGTTAAGATATATAAAAAACTTGATCAAACTCATTGAAAACTTGGATAAAAAAATCAAGTATAATAGCATGCTTTTCATATAGGTATATAAAACTAATAAAGACAATATTTTTGTACAAATTAACGTATACCAGGATACCAACAATTTTTTTTTAATTGTTCTAATTTTATTAAACATAAATTAACATCATATGAGCTTTAAGGATTCTGAATAACGTTTACAATTTGCAAATATTTGTAACTAAAATTGTTAAGATATATAAAAAACTTGATCAAACTCATTGAAAACTTGGATAAAAAAATCAAGTATGTTCATACTTAGGTGGTTATAACATATTGTTCAAATAAAATAAATTTTGCCTCTTTTCAAAATCGTGGAATTTAGTTGATTACCCTTTTTTTATCCAGACATATTTTCACGAAAAAAATGAACAAACAGCTTATAAACATCCTTGATTCACACACTTAAACAAATAAAATAACAAATCACAAAAACATAACGCCGGCTTGATTACCGCAAGGACGAAGTCAGCAGGACTACGCAGCAGGAGCAATTTCCAGCCTCCACAACTCCGAACTTTTCGCGAATGAGCGTGTGGCGAATAATCAGACTACCCGCGCCCAAGTTCGCGAGCCTTCGGCTTTTTTGCACACGACGTTCGGGCGGGAGGTTCGCAAATGTTGCGCTGGTCAGGATCTCTCGCGATCGCAGGAAAGAGTAACGGCCTTACAGTAGGTTCGGGATAAATTATGCGGTGTGTTTGCGAAAAAACCGGTTTCAAGGTCGTGTGCGATTTTTTTCGTGCCAGGTTATAATCAGGAAGTACGATCGCATCTATTCGATGGTTGCGCTTTCAGGTGAGTACCTACCTATCGCAATATAAAGCATTATCTTTTCAAATCCCGTACAAGTTTTCTATAATCCAATATAAAATTAACATAAATTATAACAATTTCTTTTGATGATAAGACTAAATTATTTTATATATATTTTGTATGTTAGCAATAAATCATCCTTTTGTTTGATTATTAGCGTCAAGAAGATGCAGATTTCTAAAAAACTGAATCCTTCAATTTATTTACTATTTGATAAGTAGAATCCTTGAATAATATGACAAACAAGTTTATCAACGCCAAATGCAAAAAATTACAAAGTGCGTTACGCACAATCCATTTAATTTGTTGCAGAATAGTTGTAACATAGCGGGTGTTTAAATATAAATGTTGTTAAAACCTGTTGGGGTTAAAAATACCAATTAAAAATTTATATTTTTCATTTCATAGGTTTATGCTTAAAAATGTCTAAAAATCAAAACATTTAGAACATAAAGAATAACAAAAGCTTTATTCTTTTAAGTTATAGAATAATAAACATATTATTTATTAACTTGCCGGATGATACCTATATCTGTACCTCAAAGGTTTACTAAGAAAATAAGAATAAATTGCATTTATTTTCTTGTGTCTATAAGAATGTGAAGGGCCTTTAAACGTACAGAAAACTAATTTTCAGTCTGAGGTATTTTCAATATTCTAAGGTTTTTTTTAATACTCGGGTTAAATTTACAATGTTGCATTTTTCAATATCTTTACTGTTGTAAACGTTAAAGTTTATGACTATAAAATTTAATGTAATAATCCTTTCAATACATAGGTATATAAACCATTATTTGGATTTTTAAACACCCTGTATCCTGTCTAAATATTTTCAGGAAATGCATGCAAACGCGATAACGACGATAAATGATAAATATGTTATTCTGTATTATAACTCCGAGGACATACCTATTATTAGACTGAAAATAGTGCAAAAGATGACTTAATATAATTTCGTTTACAAACTAGAGAGACAAGGTTTGTTTTCAGTGTAGTGGTTGCTTTTATCAAGCATAATCTGCTGACTGCTCTCGTTATATTGTGAAAGTAAAGGTCAGTTATATTAATAGGTGTTAACAATTATAGTGTTAAACAATTTAGATTAATTTTTACATATTTAAATTTATAGTTTTTATTTATGAAATATTATGGAATGAGGATTTTTATCAATATTTCAGATAAATTTAGATTTTATGTTGGTTATAAATCTTCTTGTGTTTTCAAGAATTATAGATTACAAAGTTCACAAGTCACAAGATGATAAGTCATAAAACAAAATCACTTTAATATTTTACTATAAATCTGTACCCACATAAATTTATTGTAAATACTTGTGTGTAAAAAAGCTTTTTTTATACAAACTTAATCGCAAACAAAAAATCAATTTTATGAAATTCAAGGAGTGTTTGTAGCGAACATTCTTATTTACAAATAATTAGTAATCAATAAAAAGCGTGGTTTGGCAGCTCGAATTGTCGACGATCGTTTGGAACCACCCCCTTGTAAAATTGATTGATTTAAATGAATATTAAGAATTTGCAAAAGTATCTGTAGAGACAGGTTGATACAAGAAACCAATTAGTAAATCATAAACTGTGGATACAAAATTGTAAAATAAAATAAAATGGTATAAAACACGGCGGCAAAAGCTTGAACGCATTCTACTGCGCCGGCTAGCGCCTCTGCGTCAAAATGTGTACCTACTCGAATTTAATATGAGCTTTTTCCGCCTGCTTTATAATATAATATAATTATAATAATACTAATAATACCTATATTAGAGACGCGCTCCGAGGAAAGGGACCTCGAAAAGGACTTAAGCGTCCAAAAATTGATTTCTGGGTTATGATCGTTATAGAGTAAATAACGACTATAGTCGTATACTCTTTAATTATCTAAAGTCAGAAATATTTTTCACTGATTATTTTGCATGTAACAAAGTGTTACTAACAACGCGTAACAAGTTGTTACTTACAACGCGTTAAACATTCTCCGTTTTTGCTGCCTTCTAGCGAGTTTGCCTGTTCTCTTCTTTCTCCTCTAAAATTAACGCTGGGACGCTTAGGTCCCTTTTTTCGGACCGCGTCACAAATATAATTACATAAAGGAACATAATTTAAAATTATTACATTTCATAAAATGCTATGTAATGCCATCAACTCAAATTTGAATTTGTTTTCAATTCAAAAAATGGGGATACAACGTTAATAACGTGTGGTAAAAATATACCCTATTTTTACGGAAACGTATTCAAAGTGATTGCATCCAAACATTTTAAGGCTTAATTTTACATATTATAACCCCATTTTACGTATTACATACCCCTTAATATTTAAGTTGTTATAATATGTAAAATGTTTATTATACCGTCTGCTGGAAAGAATAATTATTTTTTTTTATTGAATGTCTTTATAGTATAAACTTTTAATTGCTCCAAGATTTCATCGAACGCAGCACTAGAACTAATAAGGTTTACTAAAAAAATTGGAGAAATGCACTAAGTTTATATGCAAATTAAAAGCTTTTTTTGTGAATTTTAAATATATATTTGTATTTTGTAATTTATTATGAATTATGAGTAAACAATAGTATTTTATTATCTAAATAGGTAGGGTATCTATTCTTGCATAGATCTAAAGCTGTTCTTATGAATTTTTTAAATTGAAGATGTACACTGGCCCATTTAATTTCCAAAGTTTGTGCCATTAATAATTTGTCCTTTCTTTTAGTTAATAACGGTGTTTAGTACACGTGCTCTATATTGATAATAAGTAATTGTACTGTTTGTGCCTATATTTTATGTCCGAAACACGGACACGCAATCCGTGCGTCATATTCGCTCTTTCAGTCAATCAATATTGGTACATTAATATTTAATCATTACGCACCTGAAATTACCCGTCCGGTCTCGAAATATCCTTACACTTTGCTATTTACCTCTTTATAAGATTTGTATACATTTATATTTATTATATTATATTATTATATTATATTATTTATATTTATATATTCGTTCTCGTTTCCCCGTAACTACCCTTAGACTATTCAAAAAACTACAATTTATATCTTTAACTGCCCATAAAAATTGCAATAAGCCTACTACCACCGAATCTTAAATAAATTTGATCTTAAAACGATCCAAAACCAAACGATTTTTAGTGCAATTTACGATTTTTAAGGGTGTGAACGCCGAAATTTCACACGTCACTTAAGAGGATGATTTACTGTCGAAAAAATAAACCAGGGGTCATCGGCTGCACATTCTATAAATTTCGATATTGGCTTATCGCATATGACATTCCAAATGCTGAACGGTACCTAAAGACTATCCGATATGTTCAATCTTTTAAATGATTTTTATTTTACTCACTTTTGTTATTTTGTGTTTTAGTGTTATCGGTCATTCTCAGTTATACGTACAGGAAAATCAAACATAACGGTTATAGGTTTCTCCCTGTCATAGTGCTTATGTTTACTGATATAAAAGGCATTTTTATTTTTAAAGGATCGAGTCACTTATATCAAAACATAAACTATTAAATCTTGATTTTTTATTATTTATTTATATGAAATCAATTTTAAGTAATGCAGAACTGCATTTAGTATATTTTTGTTTAAAGTTTTTACAATACATATGTTTTGTAAATATTATAAAATTATTAGTGTATTGTGCGACTAGTGGGAGAAAGCGGAGATTAGAGCGTGGACTTTGATAACACGCTGGTGGAATCCTCTTTTGATCAATAGTCGCACACAATATTTTATTCAACTACCTCAGGAAATTTAAAGTCAATTTTATTTAATATTTTATCTGACAGTTAAGAAATAAACAATCAAGGAATTTATTATTTGGCCCACTCTCAGCAGGGCCACGAAATTACATATTCCTTGCGGGTGTTAAATAATAGTTATTTATGTCATAAGGCTGAAAAGTGAGCCTTTTTGTACTAAGCTTAAAGTTTAAAAGCCGACGACTTAATAATAACTTTATTGACGGTTATTTCCATTTTAAAAACGTACTTACAATTATAATAACAATTATTAAAAGTATAAAGTAAAGTAAAATAGCTCAGACGCTATGAGTTAGAGCTGTCGAAACCATAACGGGTTTTTTTACAGACTAAGATGTAAAAAACTTCACCTGATGGTCTAAATTATTTTTATGCACGATGACATTATAATATGACAATTATAACAAAAATTCTTTGACGTAAACGTATTTTTATAGCCCGCGGGCGTTATTATGACCCAGCGGGCTATAATGAAACGTCAAAAATTAAAAACAACAATGTTACACCATTTGATTTATTCGAAGTCAGTTTTTTCGTATAAAGATTTTGATTTTTCCGGCAGCAGACCGCAATTTTTCGCCTTTTCAGCTGCTTCCTCAATTTCATTCATCTTTAAACTTTAAAACTGACTGATGTCAGTTGAAATTATAATATGACAATTATAACAAAAATTCTTTGACGTAAACGTCTTTAAAAACAATAATATATTAAAAATAATAATATATTAATCGTGCATAAAGTTTTGTATGCATTGCTGGCATAACTGGTTTTTATGGTCCTACGACGCTTTTCTAGCCCTCGCGCTGACGCGCTCGGGCTCGAAATAGCGCCTCGGACCATAAAAACCTTATTATGCCCTTAATACATAAATAACTATTACAGCCTAGAAGATAATCAAATACTTTTTTAGTAAGCGTTGACAATAATAAAGCTCAAATTATAGAACGCTTGGAAATAAAATTATTTATTGGATTGTTATACTAAATGTTGAGCTGATATTAAATATTTTTACTCCTACCTTTAAAACGCCTATAATCGTACAGGTTTCCAAGTGAACTTTTAAATACACATTGACACTGGCTGATGTTAGCAACAGGTTTTTAGTTACAGGCTGAAGTTAGTTTTAAGTTAGTTGACATACCATCGTTAAAATAAAGTTTTCTTCTTGGAAAATAATACTACCTAAATGCA